AGTTGATTTATTAAACGTTATCGCGGAGAACAGTTCGACATATTTGAACGAGTGTTGTTAACATATAGAATAAACAAATGTCATGCTTAACAAATTTCGTAACAATTACAAACTTTAGGCACATTATATCTAATGGCAGTTTACAGCCATTAACTTTGTTAGAAAATACTTAGAACTTAGTAATCCGAGGCTTTACAATAATACGGTGTAACTGTCGCTCTTGAAGACTAAGTCACTGGAGTCTCAAGTTAAAAACATACATAGCATTCGTTTATATAATCCGTGCTCACTATCAACAGAGCCAATTGATATCAAACAAAATGCTACTTAAATTGTATTATAAATGGAAGACATTTATTTATCAGACTTAATATAGATAATTTTATTTAGAGTGCATCGACCTAAAATCATAATGGCCCACAGCAGTAAATTGCTTTGTCTGAAATGATTTTTTAGGACCAAACACAAAATTGTATAAATATTATGCTGCTCCACTACAATAATAAGTAAGGAGCAAGAAGAAACTTTATGGCCATGTTAATTAATTTCATAATTTTTAATATTTTTAAAAATTATTCTTAGGTGACAAAATAAAAACGATTACATTACTTCGTGAAGCAGTTCTCACGATAGATGAAGGAAAAAACAGTGGGTCAGCAGTCTCAGAAACATGATAATGTACTGTGTATTTTTCTTTTTAATATTAATTGTATCTAGTTCACGTTCCATCACACGATATTGATAAATGTTATTCATATTTCTAGGAAACCAAACGCTTTTTACGATAAAAATTCGAGCCATGACATATAATGAACTTAAATCTACCGACTGTAAAATACCACTGCTTCGAATAAATTAAAAATCTAATATCAATAAAGAATCGAACTCTACGGTTTTATAACACGTGTCATACATGCCATACGAACACATATTTAGGAGAATATAGATGAAAATTTTCTTGGAGAGAAATAAAACATCTGCAAAAGGAAAAAAAATTACTTCATGCGCAAGTAAAGAAACACTCACAATTTGAAAGAAAATGGTTGTTGACTACGTTAAGCTATGATTGGAACCAGAACTTACTTTATTCCATATAAATTTAATATTTATTGTGTATACAGAGAACAATCATAAACCAAAAACAGTTTATTAAGCCGAATATATTCCACTTTAAATCATTAAAGATGTTTATAAATTCTTATATAACACCGTCAAACTAATAATACATTTTACTGTAAAATTGTTTGTAAAAGCTGGACCAAGGTCAATAATGGCCGCAGGGATCTATTGCAGGATGATCGGCCCGTCATATCATCGATTTATAATTATTTCCTATGTTGTATAACTATTACAACCGGATGCGGGTAAAAAATAGAACGTGATAGTCATGGCCGACCAGTTCTAGTACTTATTTTCACAAATGCGAATAAATAGATAATACATACAAAAAAAAAAATTGAAAATGATAATTAAAGTAGTTTTAAAATAAACAAGTTTTATGTTAAAAAAAAAATAATTAGTAATCACGGTCAAAATTTTGATTACTAAATTAAAAAAGATATTAAAGAAAATTAAGACAATACATACTATTTTCCGGCGATTACAAAGACAAACTGTCAGGTTAAAAATATTTTAGTCTCATTAATAACTTAAAATTATAAAAATCATAATACATTTAACCACTAATACGATTATTAATATAGACTAGTTAAAAAATATATAAATAAATATGACACGATAGAACTTTATTTAAACAATAGCAACAACATTTTCCAACGAAGTATAAATTGTTAATAGTTTACAACGCCATATATTACATCATTATTCTAAAAATAATAAAGTAAAACGTTTAACTATTTATGTAAACTATATTACAAACATAGAATAAGAATCGTTCCTTAACTATATCCACTTTATGAAACTATTGACATGCGATATCAGACTTCTAAACCGACTATTATTGTCAAAACCATCAAATTATACCTATGAACCTATATACAAAGCCATTAAATATGAAAGAAAAACAATAATATATTAGATAAATAAGTCGAAATGAAAAGCGGTGCATTTGATAACTCTAATTACGACAAAAGATATCATTACGCATACATTGTACTTTTATATATATATATATTTCAAAATACGATGAATCTAATTATGTTATAGTAGTTAATTTATAACTCATAACATCTTAGATACATTATCACGTTTTACCTTCGATTTGCAGCGATTTCTCTAACTTACTCATGGCAATGCGCATACATACTCGTAAATTGAATAAATAATAGATATTGATGTTAAAAATACCTAAGTAAGAAAATAATATACATATCTGTAATGATCTAACATTACTAACAATTGAATTCATTGAACTTAAGTTAATATAAAACGACAAGAAACGCAAAAATTAAATCAATTTCTACAATTGTTTCCGATACACTAACAATAGCCATTTAAGCTATTCCTCTTTATAAATGAATTTTTATTATTGAAAAATTGCAAATTAAGCGTTGATAAATAAAATAATACATATTACACAAACATGTATGCATGAGAAAGTGTAACAATTTAATGTGACACAGCTATTTTTTTTTAATAGAACGGAATTTTTGTAATCTATGTATAAGTTCTAGTAATGGGCAGAGTAATGACGAGGGAAGGGTAATGGTCACGAACATTCATAAACGAAACGCGACCTTGTACATAATGTGCCTATTGTTGTTGTTATATAAAATGCGAAATCTGTATCGATTGGGATTTATGACTATGCCATTGGGAATTGGAAACCTCCGAGGCGTTAAAATAAATAATCGTTGGTGTTCTAAGTGTACGGGGCGTCAATGTTACCTTTACATGTAAACACATGAAAAAATAAAAAATTGTAAGGTATTAATAAAGATTTATTATTGAATGCAATACTACTGCTGCGGCAGTGTAAGTTACCGCTAGGAAACCATTTATAACGAATGCAGCAAAGTAGTAGTAGGTACATATACAAATTTAAAATAATAAAACTTTGGCAGAAAAATGTTGAAACGAGGCAAAGATTATCTGCAAAAAATATCCGAAAACACTCGGGGAAGTAATACGATTTTGTAGATACTAGCTTTTTATTTTTACGGCCACTCTTTGTTTTAAACAGCAACATAATATTGTATTTTTAATACGACTATTGTTATTCTACGTGGGTTGCCCAGACCTAGGAGAGCCATAAAACATTAACGACGGCAAGTTTTCTAGCAGACTAACATACATACACACATGCGCGAACAAGAAGAGTTTTATCATTCCAAATGAATTTTAACAACTAGACGATAATGTTTTTATACGCCATTATTACATTAAAGATATATTATTATTAAAAACTACTATTGTGCGAGTCTATCCCGTTACATACAATCAACACGTGGTAAATTTTCAAGAAATTATTGTCGTCATCATTGTTGACAGGTCGTTCTCGTACAATAAAATGTTATCCTACCGCAGCAGTAGATAATATTCTTCGCACACTGCCACTAGCATCTTAGTCTAAACATCCGATGTTTACGGTACACACAATTGCATATTATTATTATGACAATGATTATTTTAAAGAAAAAATAAACGAGATACACGACAATACAAAGGACAAGTTAAAAAGAAAGTTACATAAGGTTAAATGTACATAATGCAATATATTACAATTATTGTGTCCGGCTGTGGTCCATTGTACAGTACTTTTCATCCACAGCATAGACAGGATAATGTAAAAAAATATAAATATTACCGAGCATTATACCTTTAATTTAACGGCAAAGTTATTTTAATCTAAATTTTATGGACACTGTAGACATAACACATCGTGAATCGTTTTAAAATTAATTTCACAACAATAATTTCGTTTAAAATCACTTAAAATAATGAAAACGCACAACATAGACCGAAGATATATATTAATAAATTCACTTATTAAATCGTTTTGGCCAATAACGGCGTCATCGACCGCCGCAAGTACACTCGTAATACTTGAGTTATTAGAATTTTTTTTGTCATACACCACACGAGGACGATGGCGTTTACAGCTGCTGATAAACTCTAGTAATGCTGTTTCTAAAAATATTGCGTCAACAAATGATGATATGAACTGTTCATAATTAATGGGTATTATTTTAATATTTAGAACAGTCGTCGGTCGATGTGCCAACGCGATCTCAAAAAAAAAGAAAAACTTTGAATGGTAAAAAAATATTCTATGAAAATTCGTTTTAAAAATAAATAATTTTAAAACGGTATTATCATTAGAACGGTCTTTGTTAACAGTTTCTCTTCAGTTTTGCGCTTGGATGTTGTTTTGTCCGTGTATATTTTTCGCCGTTTCTATTATTAGATATTAACATTGATTTCTTGCCTAATTTCCCTTACCTCTCAAGGTTTTAACAGAAGTTACATGACTGACAATAATAACATAGACAAAAACGATAATTATGACTATGGCTACCGTTTGATATTTAAATCATTAACTTTAGTTTATAAAATAACGATTTCAAATGATTATGCCTCAGTTAGCTTAATAATCTTAATAAATCCATTTCGTAAGGTGCTACTTATTAATTACGCAAGTCCTACTAATTATAAGAAATTATGCAGAAATTAATACTATTTCATTTCAACTAATTTATCTGCACAAGTAGATTTTGTCAACATTTGAAAAATATCCATGGCGCTTATACACAATGTAACTGATTTGAAAAATGAAATATAAATGTACAACCAATAAAATATTACTGACTATACATACAGGTGCGCCTATACAAAACGATCGATTAATATTGCTGCCAAAAAAAAAAAAAAAAACGCCAAACAACAACAATACAATCAGACACGCTAAAATAAATACACCTCTATCCCGCCCACCGGCATTTAACGACACAGGTATATGGCAAAGAGTAGGGAAAATGTCTTCACTGGTATTATTATTATCTTACTGTTATAAGATAATACGAATGGATTGTACTACTTACAAATCGAACAAGGCAATGCCGGGTTTTGATGTTGTAAATTTTCTTATGTAGCTTTTATAGATGAGTTAGCCGTATGGCAAATTGCGTAGCCAATTGGATCAAAAACTACTCAGTTATCGGCTTTTCTTGCTGACCGTTGTTCATACGTTTTTTCTATTTTCCGAACACTATAAAACACTAGTACACGTTTCAATAACAATATCATAAACGATAACAGTGGGTGAAATTTCACGTAAATTATTGAAATAAGACAATTAAAAACTTATACTTAAAAAAAATTGTTTTGTTATCAAACGCACACGCAATAATACCGAAGGTCAAACGTTTGTGATAAGGGTGTCAGACGTCGTCGGATGGAGTGGAGTAAAAAAGTTGAGTGCGCGGGCGTGCGACAAGGAAAATGGAACTATATATAAATGTATTCACTATTTAGTTATAAATATATATGTAAATATACTATACATCAACGACGATACTGGAGACGACGAGAAAAAAACAACGCACATTACCAAATCGTACGGCGTACGGCAAGCGACTCCCGAATCCCGGGCCTTGACGACCGGTGCACGCGCGACGGCGACGTCAACCACAAGTACCAGGTACCGTGTGCGCTCCCCGTGGCGTGCTTATTAAATTGTCCGGTGGACGAGCAGGAAGTGAATATTTTTTTTTCTTTTCTTATCATCTCATTTTAAATTTATTTGTCAACTCTACATTTATTTTTATTATATTTGACTTTTATCTCGTTTTTTCTATAACTGAATATTTATTTCGATTGCATCTCCAATTTTTCTTGAGCAAAATTTTAAGAACAAATAGTTTATAAATTAAACAATAATTAATAGCTAAATTCTTAGTTGAACAATAAGTACTAACTACGTGGGAATTTCCATGAATTTCAAGATATTTAATTAACTATTGTTATGCTTGTAAGTCATATATGACAACAATTTTTGTTAACGATTTATATCGGGAGAATAGGACTTAGCCCTCCTAAATATTTTTTTAGCTCCCCTGGTATTGAAGCATTATCCCGAATGTCATTGTTAATGACATTATTAACATGTTAGTTAATTTGATTATAAATAATTTTATTCAATTATGATATGTATTCAACTTTACTTTTAAAATTGTTATATATTTCGCCAACAGATGGCGATATAAATTGTGCAATGATGTTTAATTGTTTAGTTAATAATTTTTTGAACTACGGTTGATAAAGGCTCAACTAATTATCTTTGTGTAGGTCTGTATTTTACAATGAACGAATATATAACAAAATAAAGATATAATACGGATTGTAGATAATATATTTTTATAAAAATTCGTTTATTATTAGGCTGCATTTTTTATCATTTGTTTGAGACGTGTAGTTTAAGTTTACTATATTTAGTATACTTGTCTGTAGTTTAGTGTTTTTATTTATGATTATGGCGAAGTTTTTCAGTATTTTTAATGTGAAAAATTAAATTGTTATGAACAATTGTGAAAAAAATCACAATGATGATTTAAATAAGTCAATAATGACTTTAGTGATTTAGGAAACTTGTTAACTGGACCAGCTCGTCCAATTTTGAAAGTAAATATTTTCATTTATTACCTGTAAAATCCTATAAGTTTTCATATTTGACCTTATACCTATTATTTTCAAATTAATATGCATACCCGGGTATTAATATAAACGATATTAATAAAGTAGTCATACTAATTTATTATTCTAAACATATCCCAAGACTACATTTAGGCAACAAAACCGAAGCTATAATTAAACATTATAGCTTATCATAATATTATATAAGGGTGATCAGTAAGTAAAATATGTGTTTCTATTATTCTCATTGTTTGTAACAATTAACCTGTTTCCTTACTTTTTGAACGTCTTCAAAGGAAGTTTTTATCTTATTGACCATTACTATGTAAATATTGAAAATTATATTTATATTGATTCATCAATAGTTGTATACTATTCATTTGTTATTTTATGTTTTTATTTAGTCTCCAAAGAAGGTCTTTATTATGAAATGAAAATGGTAAAAAAATTTACTGTACATAAAATTGGGTCTGATATTGATTATAGTTTAAAAGATATTACACAAATAATGTCAGAAAACAAATTGATATTTCCAAATTTTCAAAAATTATTTCAATTAGCATTATCGATAGGTATCAGTACTCGTTTTTCTGTTATAAAAAAATTAAATACTTGGCTTAAAAGATTAATGGATCTAGATATATTTAGTAATATTAAAGGTCTGTTTTGCTGATAAAAATAAATATATTTTATTGAAGTATAGATAATATTAATTTTTATTAAAAGTATTTTATTACGAATTAATTTTGTGTACAGATTTTTATACATGTGCGAGTGCAGAAGTAAATTATACTTGTTATTGTAATATATTGAACATCATTTTAATATATAACATCATTTTTTCTTCTCATAACTTAAGCCTAAAAACTATTAGTTTACGGAATATTGAGATGCGCATTATTCCCCTAGTTCCCAAATTATTTTATTTTTACTTGGTAGAAATAAATTAAAACGGATGGAGGGTAAATTCTAATGTTTCAGGTTAAATTTTAAAGTCACTGATTCACGTCACAATTTGGGAACATGTTAGAATAGTGCGCACCTCAATATCAAGTAAATTAGTGGGTCTTAAGCTTTAGGCATGAGAAGTAAAAATGATCATCTAGCTCAGTTTAACACGTGTACAAAATTTGACGACAATATTATTATAACTAACAGTATTAGATAAGTAGACGACCTACTTAGCTCAGTTAGGATTACTTTCGTCTTTGGTATATGTAGATGCTGAAAATTATAACTCAATGTCAACAATTCTCCTATTGACATAGGATTATAATTTTTAAACAAAGTACTTAAAAACATGTTTTTGAAAAAAATGTGAATACTTTTAATTTTGTGTAAAGTAACTGTTATTTTTATTTTATATGATTATTTTTGAAGCATACTTTTTTACAAGCTTACAAATTTAATATTATTTTTTTATAAAAACCACTTTATAAAAACACCTTTTGAGTCATTATTTTTAAAAAATATTAATAATTTGCCTCAGATTCCGTCGAATCTAAAGACGGCATTAGAACTTAACCTAATGATAAAAATAATAACAGTTTATACTATAAACTTTACACCTATTCATTGTTTAAAAAATAACTTCTGAAATATTGTTTATTAGTTGTTATAGTCATGTTTACTTTGAAAAATAAATTTTTTTATTTACCAGCTATTAAAATATGGATGTTTCCATGTAAACCATTTTATTCTAAAGAAATTTAAAGATATGATTGAAGTACAGAAATAGCTTTTTTTTCGAAAAAAAAAAAAGTATTTAGTTTATATTTATAAAAATTTTAGGTGAAATATAATTAAATAATTATACAATATTTATTTTAATTTCTACGAGCTAAATCTAACTAGCTGAAAAATTATTATTTAATATTGAATTTTTTATTTTTTATTTTGTTGATGCTGTACTTGAGACATAAATAGTGTTTATTCAAATAAATGAACAAGTAAAATTAAACTAATCAAGCAATTGAATACCATTTTATTATAGTTATAAAAAAATGTAAAACACTATAATTGTAGTGTTAGTTACGAACTTGTTAAGATTTTACCATATAAAGTTATATAAATATATAAATTTTAAACATCGCAATAATTGATTTTAATTTCTTAACATTTATTTTTATAAAATTCAATTGGTAGACGCCAGACAATTTTCATTACAAATGAACTTCATAATGAACAAACTAATAACATGACATTAAAAACTAATGTTTACTAAAAAACTAAGTTTACGTTCAAGTTATTTCCTAAAATACAAACGCCTTCCGGGATCCGGGTCCCCCTGGTTGAGATACTGTTGTATGAATTTGTAATTTAAATTTATTGCTCTAAAAGTAAAACAAATATTTATCATTCGAAATACTTAGAAATTAAAATTAAAACTAGTGCACTCTATCCAACAGCAACTAAATAACTTTATTTTCAGAAGTGTTCAGTAGGTGATGCGAACAAGTTTGTAGTTGCTCAACTGCTGATAGTCTGGAACGGATTTTTTATTGCTTAGATCATTGACACTGTGCATTTACACAACTTACTCGATATTAGTGTTACAGTTAGTCATGAACATGATTTACAAGAGTATGCGCATGCGTTAGATTGCTGATAACATTATAAGATGTGATACGGATTAATTTTTGTGCGTTCAAAATTTCTTAACGTCTTGATTTTATATAGTAATTATTTACTAATTTTGACGTAACAATTTCTATTTCTATTTATTACATAATATACAAATGGTACATGATGCCAAATGTATGCATCATTTGTTTAAAATATCCAAAGTCGCACTCTAGACTTTCATTGCACAAGTAAGTATTAAATATTATTTGAATCGAAATTTAAGCTATACAACTAACTTCTTAAGATAATATTAATAATATGTTCTAGATCTTAAAAAACGAAAAAAATGGCTTGATATCTGTGGCCTTGTGAAGAATGTATGTAGAACTAACCGGAGATTATGTTCAGAGCATTTTGAAGACAGCTATTTTTCTGATGATTTAAGAAGGGTACTATATTAAAATGCTGTACCTACAAAAAACTTAGGAGAGGAAAAGTTAAAAAGAAAATCAATAAAAAAGTAAGTAACTTAAATACGTACCCATAAGATACAATAATTTAGATAATAAAAATACAAAGCCAAAAATATAGATTACACTTTCAAGGCTGTATCTAGAATATATTTGTAGGGAGTCAAAAAATATATGTTTATTATATATATATATATATATATATATATATATATTGACACTTACATTTGATTGATTTTTGCATTATCTTATTCATTTGTAGTTTAGGATAATATAACATAATAATTATGAATTTTATATCTGTATATTATGATATAATTTTATTATATCATATCAATTAATATGAACTAAATATAATAACTTTTTATGCTTAATTTAATCAAATGTACTTTGTTTTAATCTAATTTTTATTTAAAATTCCAGAATTTCTCATGTATCTTAAGAAGAAAAAACCCACTGGTTTAGGTCCAATATGTTCTAAACCACTTGAAGCTACTGTTGAAATATCAAGTAGTACTGTTTTTATAAATCAAGATTATTTCAAAGAAAATATAACTGACTTGTCAAGTACTTCTTAAGAAATACAAAAAAGAAAACTTTTGACTCAACCAATTATTAATGGTGATTTAATTGTTATTCATTACAATCTGTGTTGAATTGTAAATTGTATAAATTACTTAAAATTTCAGGAACTCAAAAAAAAAAAATAAACAAGGAAATTATATGTTACTGATATTACAACACCAGATTTTTCAAATAAAGGCTATGAAACATTTTTCTAGAGCAAAAGTACAAATTGTTGCTTAAAGAAGAAAAATTAATACTCTTCATAAAACAATCAGAAGATTACAAAAAAAACTTTCTTTAGAAATTTTTAGAGAAAAAAATTTTATTACTAAAGATGTTCATGCCAATTTTATGGTTAAATATAATATATTTGAAGTACATTTTTATTTATAAAATTAAATTGTGTAAATTAAATCTCTGTATGTTTATTTAGTCTTATACCCTTTTTAAAGGCACTTAACTTGTAATATTGTAATTTTTGGTGTTGTAATTTATTAATAATTGATTTAAAAAATATATGTTAAAAGTGTTCTATTCTTTATATTAATAGACTATATCTAGCTGGTGTTCCGCCTTAGACTCGGTGCCATCACGCACTAATGATGTGTTAGGTCCTTCGAGCTTAAGTAATTTTTCGAATATTGGCTAATTTTTAAATGTTTTATTATATAATAAGATAATTGTTTTTTTAAATTTTATAGCTTTTATGAACAATAATAACCAAATATTTGTAACTTAATTTTTTTAAAAATAACAGTTTGCTTCACACAAACCTTAATTTTGACTATAGTATTCTGTTTAATTAAATTAATTGAATTCAAGTTTTGATGTTTGAGCAACTCGCATAAAAAAAAATTATTTTAACTTAAATATTTTAGCTTTGATACGAAGCTGGTATTAGTTTTACTATGATGTGTTTTTTTTTTTTTTTATTATTTATTTTTTGTGTCTTACCATTTTTTCTCAGTTTTCACCAAACCGATTTCTTTTAACGATACGTCAAATGATCACAAATCGTATCTAGTCAAAGACATTACCCTCAAAAATTGAAAAAATTTCCCTCGTTCCCCCTAAATAAAAATTACAAATTTAAAAATCGGTATTTTTCAATTTTTTTACTTAAAACTGCCATAACATTTTCAAAAATATATGGATCAATACAATTTTCAATACATTTTTTTAAAATATATATTATTATACCTATCATTTGGTATATTTTTGTGAACATTTGACCCCTTACCAGCCCACAGAAAAGGGTTTCATAATGATAACTTTTTTACAAAAAATTAACTTTTGAAAGTGTTCCGGAAAAACTGGCACTTTTATACATACCTTAAAATAAAGCTTATATATATTTTAATTTGAAAAAAAAAATTTAAGTTCTGGATTGGTTTTCATGGTGAATATGACTACCATTTTCAAAAATATGTTATTTTTGTATTAAAATTCTGGGTTTTTTATTTTATTTTAAAATACAAGACAAGGGAAGTACACAGATTTTCATAAATATTATATAAATAAAATTAATATAGCATAGTAAGTTAAACTTATTTAAATTTTTTTGCTTTTTTAATGTAGAGAAAAATAACATTGAAATTCGAACAAACTTAAATTGCCATTTTTTCAAAGGATGGAAGTGATGAATGGTTGCCGATTCGGTAACACTTGTATTTTACGCGCTAGGGTTACACCCCTATACCCTAAACCCACATATGGCAAGGAATTTTATGTATTTTTTAAAATTATTTTTAAGTTAGAATAAATTTTCAACTCCTTTGTTTTTTATCTCATTTAGATTCAATAACTTCAATAAAGATCAAGGATCTCATCACTGTAGTCGCGCCCCTCGTGAGAAGAAATTTTTTATTCATATTAAAATTATTTTACTATATTTTAAGTTTTAACATCGATGCAAAGCTGAGAAGGTATTTTTTTGTGACTATCAATTATTTTCTCTGCTTTAACTTGACCAACTTTTTTCAACGATACGATTACAATGATTATTACAATTCGTATCTAGTTGAAGTATTACCCTCAAAAATTGAAAAAAAAAATTCTAATTTATCAATTAAACAGTTACTTATCTATTGTTTTCTATACAGATAATTAAAATTATTGATTTCTATTGTTTTCAAAGTATTTATTGACGAGTCAAGTTTGATATGATATCAACTAAAAAATTACATAATTTTACTTTGTAATTTAATAATTCTTTTACTCTATTTGTGTGTGCTACTACTAGATTATAATATTCCAATGTTTTTGGTAACATGTTGCTATATAAATGATTTCTAAAAATAATGATTGTTAGTTTCTCCTAAATTAACAATGGAGTTTTAGATCTTTTTAACAAATTTTAGCTTCGATGCGAACCTGAGAAGGTATTGGTTTTACTATAATGTGTTTTTTTTTTTTTTGTGACTCTTACCCCTTTTTACCAACCTCCAAAAAGTACAAATTTTAAAATCGCTAATTTTCGACATTTTTTCAATTTTTTTTACTTAAAACTGCCATATCTTTTTCAAAAATGAACAAATCAATATAATTTTTTTTATAGATATAATAAAGATATATAGATATAGAGATAATAAAGTTTAAAATGTAAAATATAAAATTGAGAATTTTCACACAAAAATATTATTCGGTAGCCATTTTCACCATGAAGACAAAATAAAGTCCGAAATTTTTTCCATGATAAAGAATATTACATTAGCTTTAATTTAAGATAAATATAAAAGTGTCAGACTTTCCGGAACACTTTCAAAAGTTAAGTTGAAAAAATTTCTACTTTCTATATGCATTTTTATTTTGAACCCTTCCTGTATTAAGAGAAATGGTCCGATTTAAAAAAAAAGCATGTCGAATGAAAAAAGGATATAATTATTATTTCTTATAAAAAAATTGTATTGATTCATACATTTTTCAAAAAGTTATAACATTTTAAAGTTAAAAATATAAAATATAAAATCGAGAATTTTACACAAAATAGCATACGGTAGCCATTTTCAACGTGAAGACAAAATAAAGTCAAAATAATTTTATTTTTCATAATAAAGAATATTATATTCGCTTTAATTTAAGATATATATAAAAGTTTCAGTATTTCCGGAACACTTTCAAAAGTTATGTTGAAAAACTTAATTTTTTGTGAAAAAGATGTCATTTTGAATCCCCCCCTGTGGGCAGATAGAGGGTCAAATTTATAAAAAAAATAAATGAAATGGTAGGTAAAAACATTATGCATCTATAAAAAAAAAAATTATATTGATTTGATTATTTCTAAAAAACATATGGCAGTTTTAAGTAAAAAAAATTGAAAAGATGTCGAAAATTAGCGATTTTAAAATTTGTAATTTTTCGGAGGTTTTCCCCATTTACGGGGAACGAGGGAACTATTTTCAATTTTTGAGGGTAATGTCTTCGTCTAGATACGATTTGTGATCTTTTGACATATCGTTGAAAGAAATCGGTTCGATGAGATCTGAGAAAAAGTAGTAACAGACACACAAAAAAAAAACACATAATAGTAAAACCAATACCTTCTCAGCTTCTCATCGAAGCTAAAAAAATAAAATTGCAATAAATAAAATAATCCAAATGTCATTACCAAACTAATAGTTATATAAAACTCCAAATGTACAAATCTTATATATTTGAACTGATACAGTAATCTAAATTTTAAACAAAATTTTTGAGTATATATTGTTATACTCAATTATATAATTTTTACATCCAATTGTTAATTTACATAAACATCAATAGTTAAATAATTTTTTTTATATTAAAACCTTAGGTGTATTACTTACATTTGATATTAATTTTTGAAAATTTGACCTTATACTTGCCCAGAGAAGGGATTCAAACTAACAACTTACTAAAAACTAAAATAATATTTTAAGATTTTGTTTATTGGCTAATTAAAATTATTCTATCGCTGTAACTATCGTTATTTCTTTAATAAATTGGAAGTCAGCAGCCTTAAACATATACTTTTAAGTAGATGATACAAAATTTTTTCAATTTTTACAAAATTATTATATTTTCAAAATAAATTATCGGTGAATACCCAAAATGTCTCCAAATGATAATAATAAGAATATATCGAACATCTTTGTGTAAGTTACGATTTATATAAAACATTTCTATCAATTTTAGTAGTAAAAAACCAAAAACTCAACAAATTTTTTTGAGATAAAAACAAAATAAATTTTACTTAATAGTCAGAAATTGATACTATATTTCTATATAAAATATTTAATATATTTTAAATACCACTATATACTGTATCATGGACATTTTAGACTTTTCCATTATGTTTAAGAACCTTTGTGTTGCTTATCCGTCTGAAAATTCTAGATTATTTCATGATCATTCATTACTTCCCTTAGTACACGGTGTGTTTACAATACATGATTTTATAAGATAATTTCTAGTTAACTATTTAGGAATTGGTATTTTCGTTCTGATTGAGTTATCCTTGTTTGGGCTGAATCTGCTTTATTAGTTGTTTTATGTTTAAGTGTGTTTTCTATATATTCTTGTTAGAGTCAATCATCATGTGGTACTGTTTTTGTAGTATCGTTAATTTAAATATCGAACGTCTTGGGTTTTATTTTTAACACTTTTAAAAGTCTTTCGTATGTATACAGAGTGATCGAAATCTGGTAAGACACTTTCATTTTCTCAGAAACTATGGAGAATTTTAAATTTTTTTAAAGAAAAAAAATATCAAATTCAAAAATCTCTATACATTAATATGTAATCAAACCATCATTTTTTTCGTCCCTTCAGGGATTAAAACCCTTATTTATAATTTTTTTAAATGGGAACCTTTATTTTAATTTTATTATATGATAGAAAAAAAATTACAAGCAACTTTGTTCGTACAATTTTTTTTTCCGATTAACCGTTCGTCCGTTACATCTTGTTAAAGTTAAGCTTAATCTGTATTAAATACAGAAGTCATTATTTTTATTTGCTGTTATTTAAACTAAATTTTATTGATCAAATTATAACAAGGAAATTAGCAAAAAAATTTACGACGCACTAAATGGGTGATAACAATAATAGATTCAAATCGAGTTTTCGGTGTATTATTAATAGCAAAGTCTATGGGCGTGTAAGACTTACAAATAAAAATAATGACTTCTGTATTTAATGCAGTAAAATAACAATAGAAACTTGGCCTAAAATCACTTAAATTGGTAATTGAAGTTATTTTGTTTTTTAAAAGAATCCAGTAGTATAAGTGTTTGACCATAGACTAGTTAGCTTGAAATGCTTTAAAGTTTTTTTTTAAGCGTTTTACTTAAACTTAATAAAATAATAAGCAATTTCTTTGGTCAGTGGGCGTTATTTTAACATGTTATAGCGGTTTTCAGTGGCCTATGTACTCTTTATATCATTCCGTTGGCTTATGCATGTTTTTGTTAACTACATGTTTTATAATACTGTCTACCCTGACATTTAGTCGTTATTATTAATGGTCAAAACAACCATTTGGCGGATTAAAATTGCCAATTGAGCTGGTGTATTTAAATGTTTCTGTTTATTGACATTTTTCAATCGATTTTACCCATGGTACTATGTCTTTTCTCATTAATTTCCATATAAATAATGTTTTAATTAGACTAAGAGTTCCTTTTATTTCAGGTTAAATAAGTTGTATATTGCTGAAAATATTTTTTTGTGTTGTGTGGTGGTACGGTTGATCGTATTTTATCTATGTTGCATTTAATTTTTCTGCCTCCTTCTATTTCCTTGAATTTTGAGATTAGTGTCAGTTAATATGTAGCATTCCGATTTGGCTATTTATTTTATTAGGTTTATTGGATCTGATGTACATGATATACTTTCGATTCTGGAAAGGTAGTCCGTGGTAATGTTACTCGATCCGACAATGTATTATATATTGTATATGTATTGTATATAAAACTACTAACTACTTAATTGTTAACTGTAATGTAAATGAACTTTGTTGTTGCTGATGTTTCGATGTCATCTGTTATTGTAAATAGTTAATTTTAAGTGTTTGTGATCTTCTGTTTATCGTTTTATCAGCAACTATTGCCTTTGAAATCTATTATATGTATAAAAAATTGTGCTTTCATTGCTGTTATATTCCGTTGATATTCGGCCACTAAGGCCGTATGGTTTTTTTTTGTTGTTGTGCTAAATAAATAATAAATTTACTTTTTTTTCGCTTCTGAGTTGTTTATGCAATTAAGTTATTGTAATAAAAGCACCTTTTAATGAAAATTAAAAATATTAAATTTGTATTGGTTGGTTGATTGCTCGATGGGATAATTACCTTCATACGCAGGTAATTAAAGATAAGAGTATAAACAGTTAGTTATCATTTGGTTAAATTGTTTTAAAAATAATTATTGTCTTCTTGGACACATTTAAAATATATTTTTCATTATTTATGGTATAACAATAGGACGATAATCTAGTGATGAGTTAGGTTTTGAAATGCATTCCTAATTAATTAATTAATTACTTTATTATTATAAAGTAACGTCAGCAATCAGATATAATATGAATGTAGTATATATATATAATATAGATGAAGATTTTGTATGAGGGCTTTTGTCAGCCTGCAACAACAACTTGCCACTTGCATAACGACTAGCTATAGTAGTAAGTGTCGCCACCACATAGACGAGGCGTCACACCTATCAGATATGATTATCAGGCCACAGGTGGAATTTAATTTTAAGTTAATTAATAGTTTAATTTAAGTTAAAATGTCGATATGTATATAAATGATTATAATACCTCGTGGTTTATTAATTACAACTATGATAATTGAAGTTATAAGGGGTTGATATGTAAAACATACATAGCCCGTGTCCAGATTAAGGAACAGAGATAAATTACACGCGAGTATTTAAGCTACTCGTGTAATAAAATAAATAAGAAAAATTAATTTAATTGTTAAAAAAGAAAATTAAGTTAAACATGGACAAAAATACGAATGTATCAAAAACCGTATCTACAGAGAAAGGTAACAAAAATAAAATGAAATATTAAAACATTATCAAATAATATAATAAACATCACGGACGGTATTAGAACACATCTGTTAATGTTAATCGGAAATTAATGAAAAACACCAGGACACTAGCTCCTTAGTGTTGGCTAGAAGAAAGAGGAAACACGTGTTCTACATACATAAATAAAATTAATTTAATATATAATAAAGATTTAATAAAAAATATAGCTCATACATTAATATAATTATAAACAAACGTTTGTATTCTATCAAGGTCAATGACAGAAGAAGGTTGAAGAGCCAACACCGATCTAACGGCAATTTCAAATTGATAACGGCTAGTATTTATGGAAGTGATCAATATCGATAAACAATTTGATTTTAATTATATTTATTTTTTCTTGTCGCCTTATCTAGCGATTAGTGGTAAAAATAATGAGTTGTCGACACCGCTGTGTCAGAAAAAGGTTCAATCGTGCAAACTCTTGTGCTATAAAAAATAAATAAATAGACATAAAAAAATTTATAAACGGTTCACCTTCGAATTTGTGACATTACAATTTATAGGCGAGATTTGGGATTCTTAAGCGTCGATGTTTTTTTTTAGCTACATTATCTCAAGAAATAAAAAGTATTATTTATTTTAAAAATTATTAAAGTGTGTCTCAATATGTAAACATATATATCCCCAAATAAATTTTGAAGTTTTGTTATAAAGACAATTATAAAACGTAATTTCCACTAATTAAAAAAAAAAAATTTCATCAGAGTAAAAAAGGTACTTTTATTATTCAATTTTTCGTGCTATTTTAAAATCAGCAATTATATATTTTCCATCATCAATAATTTTTGATATTATTACTTATTAGTTAAAAATGATAGGATATAACTATAAGGAAAATAGTTCTGAATATTTTAATTGTATCATCTATTTAAACACCAAGAATTACATAGAAATTATTAATATTATATTTGAAATGATTTATTACGATAAAAAAATAATTAAAAACAATTGTTTTAAATTATTACAGATTTTGATTTTTAATATTTTAAAAATGATCAGTGAAAAATTTTATTTTTCACCTAATTGTTTGGTCATTTAAAGTTTATTTTTGTGAAAGTTTATAGTAAAAAAAAAAATGAATTTATGCAATAATTTTTAGCTCAACTTGCAAGATTGAAATTGACATCATTAAATAGTAAAAAATGGTATTGTTAAGATTCATATGGAGTCAGGAAATTGTATAATTACTATTTACTGTAAATTTATCAGAAAAGCTCAATATCTTTTTTGCATTTCTATTGTAAATAGATCACTTAAATAGAAATCATAGTAGTCATTTCTAAGTAATTTATGGTGTTTAAAAATATTCTAAAATTGAAATATTCAGAACATAATTAATTTTAATGATTTACGTTAACTAAAAACACCAATCAAAATTTGGTTAAAAAAATCTACTCAATCGAGTGTATTATAAAATTTGATTATAATTGTAAAAACTTTTTGTTAATGTTTTGTAACGGGATTATTATAGTCTAACTCTCACTTATAAATAATTCGTTTGATATTTTTTAATTTAGAGACTATTGTAATAAACATTAAATTTAAACAAGAATGAATAATTTTTACAAAATATGTGTTCCTTATTTTTATGTATAATTAAAACTTAAATGAAAATATTTAAATACAATTGTGACTATGAGCGCGTCGCTGATGGTTCAGCGGAAGAACGTACACTAATTAAACCTATGCTACAAAAAACACATTGCCGGTGAGATAAACAAAGATAAAGATACAATATTATATAATGATTTGCGCTAACAGTTAAATTCAGGTGTAAATAAAAATCATTTTTTACCAAATCACAACATGTTACCAAAAAATTTGGAATATTATAGACTGTTAGTAACACACAAATAATGATAAAAAATTAATAACACAGTAAAATTATTAAATTTTGTAGCTGAAACCTATTATCACATCAAACCTAATTCGACAATAAATACTTTATAAACATTAGAAATTAATGATTTTAATTGTTTATATGGAAAATCTTGGTTAAGTAACTTTTTAATTGATAAAGTGGAATTTTTTTCAATTTTTGAGGGTAATATCTTTAACTAATACTTGTTATCATTTGATGTATCGTTCAAAATATTTGGTTAATTGAGAGCTGAGAAAAAAATAAGAGCCAAATTAAAGTTTGAATTTTATTTTTATTCATATATAAGTATATTGCATAAATAAATATATATATATAAGTGTCAGTATTCCCGGAATGTTTTCAAAAATTATGTTGAAAAAGCATTTTTTTTTTTTAATCATAATGGATCTTTGATGCGCTGTTTCAAAAGAAATATTAAATTGCTACCACCATCCTTAATGCTTAAAACTTGTATCAACTTCATTTTCAAATGGTAATCCTATTTTTTTTACACCATTAGATTAAGTTTAATAAAAAAAAATATTTTGTAAAAGAAATAGTTTATTTTATTTAATATTAAGCGTTCCTCGGCTCTCTTAAGTTTAGGGTTTACTAAGAAAAAATCATAACTAACACGAACGTTATAGGTCGTTAGTTATTCTGACTACGTGCATTGACACATGATGGAAGAACTACTGCATTTTTTTTTTAAATACCTTAAATTTCAAAGTAGCGTATCTCGTTTAAAATTTATACAAATAAATTTTTTTTTTTTGTTATGACGAACAAGAATATATAAAAATAATATGGTATTTCCATTTGAAAATGTCTGTAATATGTTTGTGATAATTTTGTTATTTTAGTCCGTCTCCACGTCCAGGAGGACTTTTAAAAATTAAAATAGATGCTAGAGAGAAAAAATACAAAAAAAAAAATCAATATCAAACTATCTCAAATCGCGTTGAAGATATGGAAAAAGATAAATATAGAATAGAAAAAACCATTGCTAAAAATCCTCCGTTACCCACTATAACGCCAATAATAAACTTAAATTTACCTAAAATTTCTCAAGAATCTTTGTTTGAGAAATGTTTGGTCGAAAACGAAGATAATGGTATGTATGATTGAATATTATAAATGTTAAACATAATTTATTAGTTAAAGATATTGAATTGATATTGTTAATAAGTAAATAGGTAGATAAATCAATTTTTGACTTCTTTGAATAATCATAGAAACTTTGAAAAATTCTAATATGTCATATAAGTAGGATACTAACAATGTCCAAAAAAATAAATTTGGATTTACAATACTATATGTATTTTCTATTTGAAGAAAAAATTATATGCAGAGTGATCGATTAAAAATAAGACACTCATTATCTAATAAAGTTTTGAACATTATTAATAAAGGAAAATATTGTTTAATTCATAAAACTACAATAATATGTAGTTAAATATTTTTAATGGGATCTCTACTATAGTTTATTGATATAATAGATAAAAAAATTTTGTTTATATATTTTATTTTATTAAACGTTATTCTGTTATTACTTGTAAAAGTTAACCAATTTTTTTATTGATAATTTGATATTTAATATACAGTAGTTGCCATATCTCCATGATGTCATATAAATAAGTTTTGAATTATAATTTTTGTTGTCTTATCTGCCAATTACGATAGTAAGAATGATTATTATTTTTAATATTGTAGAACAGTAATAATAAATAATAATTTATAGCTCGTTGTAACAGATTACTGTTGCCTCCTGTTTTATAAAAACCAAAATAATAAATTTATATTTTAGTTCTAAATTTTTAAACATTTTTAAAACAATAATAATTGATCAGAAAAAAATAATATTATTATCAAGACTATTTGGTTATTAAATCCACATTTTTATTTAATGTAAACAATTCTTTATAAGAGCTGCGATATATATATTAATTAGGAGCGGTTGAGTTGAAGCTTTTAATTTCAGTAGTAGCTGTTTAGAATTGTATTATTATTAATTTAATAATTTTAATCAATAGATAATTGAAAATAATGGTCATAATAATATTTTGTATTATAAACAATAAAATTTTTACAATTCATGTATTCATTACACTCTTATTCAGTCCAAATTTTTCATTTAATAATGATTTTTTCACAAAAAAAAAAAGAAAATTGTATTATTACTTTTTGAGATATTAGCATTTAAATATTAAAACAAGTTGAAAAAGGAGTAGTGTTTAAGCTTGCTTTATTTTTATCATAATTCACAAAATTCTTCTACGTTATGTACCCCCTTTATCTATGCATACAATTATAATTACTTAAAAAGTAGCATTTCTTTTATGTTTGTGAAAGAAACGTAATTTAATGAAATAATTTGAGGTATCATTCTTCTCTTTTTCTTCTTAATAAATTAAATAACTTACTAAGTATATACTTAAAATGTAGAATATAACGATATACGAAATAACATGAAGATGTTGAGCTTTATTTCAAAAGATTGTTGAAAATTTTGATAATACTATGTTAGCGCTAGATATTGAAGGACTTCAATGTAAATGTTGTTTGAAGAGTAATTCTTAAGTTTTTGTTTTGAAAATGATTTTTTCTACGTTTCTAGAGCCCTTTTAAATGCGGAACTTCAGTCAAGCATGGTACGTGCATAGTTGCATAGTTTCCCTTTGGTCATTCCTACAAAAATAATTAATAAATTTCATAAATATTAGTTTTAATTAACCGCAAAAACATAATTTATTCACCACAAATCACATAATGAAAATATTATGCAAAATATAAGATTTAAGCTAACTGTTTTTATAAGATAAATAAATTGTATAATAAATCTATTAAATTTATATAAATATTTTATGCAAAAAACTTGTTTACATAAAAAATCCATATGAATTTTTGATATTAAAATAGAAAGTTAAACTTTGATCTGAAATAGGTAAGACTAATTGTGATCATGAAAAATGGCTAGAGGAAACGACACCGGCAAAAAATATAAACCTTATAAATAATTTGGAAGATGCTATTAACTTTATTGTAACATTAGCGTCAAATCCAAGCACTGACAATAAAGATTTTGATGAGACGCAGGCAATTTCAGTAGTACTGTTTTTACGCACTATTAAATCACCAGCTGGTCAATATGAACCCAACAATCGAAGATTAATGGAGTACATTGATAAGAAGGGCGAAGAATATATAATAAATTTAACGAAATAACTTAAAAGTGGTGTATATAAATAATACAAGAAATAGTTGGTGCATTAAAATGATTTGATTCAAATCGTAATGAAAAATGCATAAAAAAATAATTAGTCTAGTTCATTATGACTGCATAAATCAAAATTTTGAGAAATTAAATGGAAATATTGAAAATGGATATTTTATTTTTTAAGTTAATAATAATTTATTATAAAAATGTTGATAGAATTTCTTTGTTATAATTAAAATTATGACAACGAAATACTTGACGATATTATTTAAATTCGAGTATTATAATATTACAATAATATCAATTATTTGTGTATGTAACATACAATATTATATTTGCCGAGTAAAACTAAAGAACTAGGAGAACTGTGGTAAGAGTCTAATATTGAAATAATTAATTAATTCTTAAACTTTATAAAACAGTTAAATAAGACTTGTTTTTTTTTATCGTATATTTAATATTTTTATTAATCAATATTAAGTAATGACATTATTTTCTATCAATTTTTTCATACAGTATAAATAAAAAAATTCAACGTAATTCTAAAACATATTTTTTATGCTTATTTTAAAATAAATGAGATTTATAAATTTTGAAAAATGAATCTAATATTTTTTCCTTTAATTTTTTTTATAATTGTCTTCATTATTAATAAATATATATTTTTGATATTTAAAAAAGTTCCTAAATGGCTAACTTTTTTTTACACTATATTATTAAACATTATGATATTAATTGAAAAATTACAAAATTATATCAACTTTATGATTATTTTATTATTTCGAGTAAAAAAACCTGATTAAACAGTTATCTATTTGTTCGTTAAAACTTATTTAGTATTAACTAGACTCTTACGTTTTTTACGGAAGCACAGTGGGGTCGCAGTACAGTGTGAATGTGACATAATTGGTATAAGTATAGTTGATATATGCAGTGATTAAAATCACTATCATAAGAAATGTTTAGATGTAAATCTGTAGATAAGTTGGTGGATTATTCCAAAAACAAAATGAACTACTATTTACTTATTTATAACTTGATTACAAGTTTTATGATATATTAGTGTAATATATGAATAAATATTTAAAAATTTTGATCAACTTGAACGGCTATTTGCACATAGAAGATGGGTCGTAGGAACAATTTTTTTAACACATTGTACATAAAAAAGCTTTAATTTAAAATATATTTATAATACACAGTATTTCTGTAACATTTTTAAGAGTTATGTTTGTGAAAAAGTTGCTATTTTGAATTCGACCCTGTGGGCATATTTCAGAGGGTCAGGTTTTAGAAAAATTTATATCACATGAAAGTGAAACACTTAAGGTTTCTGTATAATTATTTTTATTTTTTATTTTTTGAAACAGTTAAAAAAAAAAATGTCAAAACTTAGTGATTCTAAAAATTGTAATTTTTTTGGGGATTTACTACATTTACCGGGAACGAGGGAAATTTTTTCAATTTTTAATGGCAATATCTTAAACTAGATACGATTTGTAATCTTTTAACGTATCGTAGAAAGAAATCGGTCTGGTGATAGCCGAGAAAAGGTGGCGACAGACATTTACAAAAAGAAAAAACACATCATAGGAAAATTAATATCTTTTTAGCTTCGCATCAAAACTAAAAACAATTTTTTTAATAGAGTAATAGATTGGTTTATGATAAATGTATCATATTGTATATCTATGTATACCTGAAAATTAAATATTTCAAACATAACGCGTTTCATATAAACCTGAAAGTATTTTTTGTTTAAAGTTGTATAATTTAATTGATATATTTTGCAAATATTTATTAAAAAAACTGGTGTTTTAAAATTTAAATATATTAAAATTTTTAGAATAAATATATTTTTTATTTATACACTCAAATTATGCATGTACAAAAATAAATGACAAATGGCTATACAGACTGTAATAAATATATATCAAAAATTCTAAAAATATAATGATTAAAATTTTATGCACAAAAAAAACTTGTACTTTATGTCTTGTATGAGATATTTCGTTGGTTAATGTACGGAACAAAAAGTACTATGTGTAAATATTTTAAGTTAAAATTCATTTTCCTTATAATTTTAAATTTTTTTAATTTTTCTCAATGCCTTTTACTTATAAATTTTACTGAACTGTTGGATGATGTGATTTTGAAATATCCATTGTTTAAGAGTTTAGAGTTTCAAAAACAAGATTATTACGATAAATTTCCTAAAGTATGTCCGTTACCGTATAATCAGACAAATGACGACTACATTTATAAAGGTATAACATTCAAATATTTTACACCTAAAAAATATCCGTGTACATGGATCACAGAAAATTATAAACCAATAAACTATTGGATTATGGATACCGATGGAAAGAAATTGGAATACTTAGTAAAATCTTGTTTTGATCCAATGCAGTGCTATACTGTATATATGCAAGCAATAGAAAGTACGGGTATGACTTTAGTTCATAGATTTTGTGAATTTTATATAGAATTTTATCACAGAATCAAGGAGTTAGATGAAAAAGAATTTGATATTTTGATTCCAGAGATATTTCAAATTAAATATAACTTCAATAAGTTGCTTTTAGAAATAAAGTATGTTTTTACAAAATATTACATCTCAACTTTAGCACTTGATTGTGTTTTGAATACAATAGAAAAGTTTATTGAATCACCAGTTGACTTTGCTGGAGATTTTAAACTGGAACAAGAAAAAATCGCAGATTATTTAATTGACTGCAGAAGAGCAACATTTTTAAAAAGTAATTTAATGATTCTCGATAATCAAAAGACGTGGGAATGGATTTTTATACCAGAAAAAATACATAGCAATAATTCCCTCATGGACTTAATGAAAACGAGCATTGAAAATGGAATGAAGCTGTTTCAGAAAAATGATGTAGAAATCAACAGTTCTGTAGTTAATAACAATGAACTTATTAATTAAGTTCAAATTTGAAATACTTTTCAACGCAAATAAACTATATAAAACTATTAACACATTGTTGTAATATCCACACATTATTTCTAAATAATTCTTAAAATATTTGAATTTAAATTATAAGAAAAGTATTATGTTACAAAAATGATATCATAATAATGCTTTGTAATTTAAATATATATATATATATATATATTTATGTAATAGTTATCTAAGTTCTGATTAACCGTGTAATAAATTATAAAATGATAATAATAAAAAAGTCTAAAAAAGGCAGTACGACATTCATATAAAATAAAATGGCTAAGGTAGCACACCTTTACTCTCACTCTTCTTCTATTCTCACCTTTTTAGTACCAGTAGTGCAGTAGTTATTGGGTAAAATAGAATAACTTAGCACCGTATGGAACATAGTAGTGGAATTAGCTAGTCACGTAGCTATTTAACTCTTCATGGTGGAAAATGAGTGAGAAACAATCTCGACTGCCATACGCCTCTTGCTACTTAAAAATTTTATTTCGGATTCAAATTATTTCTATCTGACTACAATTTATTTTTAAGAGTTTAAATGAGGACTTCAAAAGGTGAGTCAATTTTATTAACCCTTATAAACACGTTTTAGTGGCTCGAAGAATATTAATCGTTTTTAAATAATAAGGGTTTATGAATAGTCTAAAATCATTAATATAACAGTAATTAACTCTATTATATTGTAAGTATATACGTTTACACTCAATTTTAAAATTTTAGGTGCGAGGCATTCGTGCTGTTGTAAGCACTCAAGGAAGAACTCCCTAGAGCAAGGCTGTGTAAACAAACATGCCATTTAGGGTTGCTTAACATACATAAAACCGTATTAGTACAATTTAACACATAAATAGAATAATTTTATACTTTTATTCATTTTTATAACCTTATTATTTTTGAAACCTCAAACGATAACTTCGATTAAATATTATAAGTAATTATATGTAGTAATTCACTCGTGACTTACCGCATCTAGCCCTTTTACATGAAAATATTATTTTTATATCCTTATCCTTTTTTTTCTTTTTATTATATTTTGAATTACTAGAACATTACTTTGTATTGGTTTTTTTATGTTGATAATTGAGTCCTAATAATAGTAAAATTTTTGGTTATAAATTAGCAGTTTTTCAAAAGCAACATCAACTCTTATTTCTTTGATTATATCATAATTAGTAGTTCTTTGATTTTAAAATATAATATATGAATAAATACTAATTATAATTATTAAATTTAGTATGAAATTGATATTCGATAATTTAATATTGTAATTTAAACGGAGAAATTATAAAAATAATAAAGAAGTTATATTTTGCTTTACTTTTACGTGTATAAAAATTTAAAGGGCTTGATACAATAATTTTCAATAAAAACTGTTTGTT